ACATAGAAAAATCACTTATTTTGAGAGCATTTCCTTCTATATATAAAAAGGATAAAGGGAGTGAACTAGTGAAGATAGGAGTAAACTTTATACCATTGTTTTCCAGTCCCTATAGGTCCACCAGCAAACATCATGAACAGGGGGATCATCTTGGCTGCAGATAAATGAAGTAGTCATAGATCAGTCGACTATTTCATAAACCCTTTACCCAGGAATGATGTAAGGAAAAATGATTCATTAGCATAATGCTCCTCTGGAGAAGCTCAGCTGAAAAGATAACTCCAGTTTCTAATAGCTAATTACTGTCCACGTCTCAAGAGTTGGGCATAAAAGGAGGTTTTTAAGGTTTATGATGAATGAGTACCTAGAGCACCTCCATCCTTTCCTAGAACCACACCAAATGCGAATACGTACTAGCCTTACATCCTTGTTGACTTTCAGTGCCGAGGCCTTCCATTCTCTACAAACCTGAAGAATAGTTTATCAATATTAGGTACATACATGTAATTAAGGATGAATTAAACAATATCCTTGAGAATGCAGGGGAAGGAAGACAGAATTGCTTATCAAGATGCAGTGGGGAGGGAGGCAGAAAGGTATTCACAGCCACATACATTAAATGCATAGAAGTGCAAGGCGCCCAGATTTCACCTTCAGAGGAGTTAGTCTCTGAGACCAGTATTGCACCTGGATCCAACAATATACAAGAAATTCCATTCCAAAGGTTAAAATCAAGCATATTAGACCCTAGATGGAAACTCTTAACAAAATTGTGGAAATTTTTATCCTCAACACTAAAATCCAACAATGTTTTGTTGATAAGCCAATTCCAGGACAACAAGAGAAATTTTTAACGATCTTTGAGAGACTTCCACGACAATGGTCAAGATCAAAGTAGAAGATAGCTTCCCAGTCAGACATGGACAGCTAATTCCAAAAAGAGAACACTTAGACCCTAGACCCAGAAATTAAGAGACTTCCCTTGGCTGCCTCATGTCCAGAGCCCAATTATAAAGGTTTACCACAAGCTTATAATCAGTTGAAGAGCATGTTCTCAAAAAATTGAAAAAAAAAGTCTTTGAGAATTTCATCTAATGGCCTCAAACATCAGTTACACCAGGCCTGGAAAGCTGCTGACAAGGGAACATCATATTTTTAAATAGCACATAATCAATGTTCTATTATTCACCTGAGCCAAGTAATCATTTCCTGATGGACTTTTCTCATCAAATACTTGCGTCTCACTTGTGCCTGGGAAGTTAAAATATTAAAACATTAGAAAACATAATAAGCACAATATCAAGCGCAAAGGAGATGCAATATACATAATAATAAGCACTATATTGAGCACAGTGGAGATGCAATATACATAATATGCCAAGACAATGGTTTGTGAGACTGACCATAATAACCAACTGCTGTTGCACTGACCAGAACAGAAGGCCTGCTATCAGGTTGCAAGTCATTTATTAGCTCTACAACCTTCAGAAAGGAAAAGAATGTCACAAACTCACAATAAAGAAGGAATGAAAATGGTATAGCAACCTTTTAGATCCTATACACAGAAAAGGCGATATGCAATTTTCTTTTTCCAAGAAAAACCAAGAAGGAAGCAATTTGAAGATGAAAATATACTGAAGAGGCAAACCTTATAAGTGACCCTAATTCTGCTTTCCTTGATATCATTCTTGATCTGTCATAAAATGGAAAAGAAATTGCAATCAGATATATTAAGTTCTGGAGACGACAATAGAAAAATTATTAGTATCAACAAGTTTGGATTATTGCATGAATATGATGCTTCATAAGCCCGAGTGGCAGTATAGCAATTTGCTGAACTCTAGTAATCGGTTTTTCACTTGACCAAACAGCATCAGTGAATTCAAGAGACCAATATTTGTAGCCACCAAGTGTTACTGTGAGCTAATTGAGCTTGCATATCTCTATATGAAGCCATCAATTATGCTACTTATCAGCGTACTTTCTCTGGTAGCATTCCCTTAAAGTTATTGCCAGCAAGTTTTTATTGCTTCCTCGTGGTAGAATACTAACCAGATTAAAGTATTCCAGTACGTTTATAGACTCAAAAGCCACTACCTGGGTGTATTTCAGAAAGAGATCTTGTGTTGCACTTCTTTAGATATGATAATAACAAAATTAGGTTTGAGACTCACAGAAAGCCAATCATACACTGATGAGCTAAATAAAGGTCCTTTTTACTTTAATGGTAGAGGAGATTTATATATATATCGATGATGAATGGGAACTATATCATACTCGCAAGCCCGATAATGCGAAACTCAGAAATCTGATACATATAACCATATAGGTGAACTGAGACTACTAATTCATACCTCTGATGACCACCTTGTACTGATAGGTGTACCAGCCAGATTTACAACAGCATTTGAATCTCGAATACTGTCTTTCCACTCTGGTTCCTCTGCAACCACAATGCCTGGGAAATTGTTGACTGCAAATGTAACAAAAAAGGTAAACACAAGGTTAAGTATAGTCTTTTGGAATTAAGCAGCTTTATAGAAATTTAGAAGAAGAAAATCTGTTATTTGTTATTTAAGGACTTTCCTTCAACGTATATCTAAATCTATAGTTGCACTAGCTATAGTTGGTACCCACTGCCTTAGAACTTTAGAAGTGATATACGCCATTACTAGTATATATAAGTAATCTGGTGACAAACACCCCCTTAGCTTTACACTGTAACTGTGTATACAAGCTATTATTCTCCATGCTTGGAAATACAAATCTAGGGGGTTGCGTTCTATAAGGCAAATAAAACACTACAAACAACGGTGATCTTAGTCACAAGATAATTATAATGATAATCGATGCCAAACTTTTGTGTGAAGCCCCTAATCACCAGTCTAGCCTTAGCTTGAACTTTTCCACGGAGCCTTCAGTTCTCAATTCCTTAATTTGTTAAGATCAGGTTCGGGTAATATCATCCTAAATTGATTCCTGAACATAATTTTAATTTCTTAAAACATCAAGTATTATTGGACATTCGCAATCATCTTTTCACACATGTTTTTTTCTTTCAATCCATTGTTTTGGCCGTGCATTGATCAATACACTTAGTTCTCAATCTATAGCATTTTAGTATAGAGAGCTGAGGAAGTAGAGACATGATTCCCTAGAAGTCAATTGCTACAAGTCTGTGTGTAGTTGTGTACAACACAAGGCATATCGAGTTTAGAAAGTTGATACTTAATTTTGTCATGACACCCCCATTAAAGTTTCATGTTCTAATTTCATTACTAGCTATATATTTCCTACAAGTACTACATACATGTTTGTAGGTGTAACCGTGTAAACTCAACATGACTAGAAATCGTGTGGTTGAATATTTGAATGGTTCATTTCAGGTTCAAGCCCATATGCAATCTGAAATAGATTGATCGGAGCAGCAAGGTGGTGCCACAGCTAGCTAATTTAATCCATTTCGTGGGTCAACGCTAAGTTATAATCAAAAGCTGTCCACACACATTTAGAATACATTATAGGTATAATCATTACCTTCTTACCAGGAAATATTTGCTGAGCTTTCGATTTGGATCGCGTTAATACACGAACTTGATGTTTATCTGAAGTAAAAAAAAATAAGGACTTTAGCCTCAGCAACTTATAATCATTGCCCCACGTGCAGGTTATTGATACAACCATCTGATTGCCCTATGATTATGAACAAATAAAATACAAGTATATCAAATGAATTTCTGAAGAAATATAAGCTTTATAAGCTACCCCATGTAATACTAATTCAAAATATGTAGTAAGTGAAATAACACTATCACTTTGAATTCATTTGGCCACTCCAGCTATTAATCATCCCCAATTCCACAATGTAAAGTCTAATTTAGCTGGTTATATCAGAAACCTAAGATCAAATTCAGTCAACATCACTTTAGTTGCAACTCCCAATCCACAAAAAATCAGACTAAAAATATACTTACAAGAAAGAAAATTTTATGATAATCATAATTTGAATACAATCTAAATGCCAATTACACATTAATTATCAAAATATCATGAACCAACAATAACCAATATCAAACAAAATAATACATATAATTGAAGAATTATGAAAAATGCAGTACCTTGGAAGATGGGGCAGACCATTTTCTTTGCTGAGACACCATAAACCTAACTTTCTGGTCTCGAAACCCTGAAAAAATGGGCAAAACTAAAACAGTTAATAAGCTTGAAATTGGGTAAATTTACAAAGAAAGAGAAAAAATTGGAACCTGGGAATTAGAGGAAATGTGAAAAGAAGGGGGCTTAGAGATTGATGTAGTCCAAGACAAAGGATTCGCGGCTCTGAAAACCTCCATTGATGCTCTGCAACACCAATTACCAAACCAAGCTTCAATTTTTATTTTATTTTTAGTATTTTTGGGTGTCTATAAATTTGTGGGAACATGAAGACGATGAAGCGCTTTGTTTATTCCTCGTGTAAGAATTTGAGGCACAACGGTTCTTGTTCAATATCTTTTGGTTTATCTACTTGTTATTTAGTTGTTAATTGTAACTTGGATTCACTTCTTTAATCAATAATCTCTTGGACTTTGTAAATGGACTCTTTCTGCTCTTGATGTCGAGTGCAGCACACGCCCATAATCAACAAAATCGTATATTATCAATCCATGATCTGTTTAAAATTATACAAGTACATACTTTGTATCTACTTGCCCGAACAATTCCTCTGGATTTTGATTGAATTTTAAAAAGTAACTAGTTCTGAATTCACTACTTTTGTCAATTCTCAAGTTTCTGGAGGAATTTCGGTCAGTTCTTAGCTTCTTACTATCCTTTGTTTAGGGGCGTTGGATTCGTGAGGACTGAAGGATGAAATAAGAATGGATAATTGGTAGTTATATTATTCATTCAAATCCTCACAAATAATCGCGTACTATATGACAATTATATATACCCCTTAAATAAAGGAAATGCCTAATAGTATCATTGTGTTATCCAAAATGTGCGTAAAAAAGGTTGCGCATAGTGTTTCAACATCCTCATTATGAACAAGCAAAACAATGTGAAATGTTAACATACATGTTCCTCGCAACCTGACATTGTTTGAAATGCTAACATACTTATTCGAGTTATTCCCTTATTATTCTGCCATACTTTATCATACAAAAATTTCCTACCCCATCTTGCAATACCCATCTTCTTGACCATGACGGAATGTCAACTCTAGTTGATGAAGATGGAGATAAATGTCTGATCAAGTTTCATCTTCGATATAATGAGGCTTGGCCCTGGATGGAGAGGATTCTCCACACTGACCATGGCTTGGTTAAATGGGATGCCCTTGTTTCCCAACTCATCGAACCAGCTACCTTAAAGGTAAGTTTTATTTCCTGTAACCACCATAGTATGAATTTCACTTCCTTACCACCAACAGCTTGTTTAGTAGAGAGAAATTGTAACACCTGGTTCATGCTGCAATCATGTCAGTATTTTTATACACACAATGTTAGCCATAGTATCCCGACCAATCCTAAGCCATGAGCTTCAAGAAGCAAAAACTATGAACAAATCAAGAAGTAAAGAATCTGACATCGCAAAACATTGACAGTTTAGTATTCAACACAGTTGCATTTTTTTCCTTATCTTCAATCTGTTGCTGGTTGAAATTTGTAACATACGTCCATATCCATAGTATGCTCATTCTGATATTCTAACCAAGTGCTGTGTACAATTGTGAGTAGATATTCACAAGTAATATTTGATCAGTTTAATGAAAAGGTAAGATGGAGTGAAGAACCCAATCTTTAGCCATAACAGTCGTACTCCTTTAAATCTTTTCCCTCCGTTTCCTTAACCCTCTAAATTCTTCTATCCAAACAAAGTGTTGATTTCATGGTAATAATATTTCATACTAAAATTACTCATCTATTCTTGTATTCTCCACAATTTCAAACAGCCAAGGTAGCTGAAGCTTTTCATGCATAACACTCAGTGTCTTCAAATCTTAGATAATCTCATCAGCTTGCTTTGATTTGCTGGTCCTTTGTTTGTTCTTTCTACTGATAAAAAATACAAATAAATTAACCAGATCATTTTTTCCTGGGGAACAAAATCTTTTGCACCACAATTAACTTCACATTTTTTTTCTTAGTTCTACAATTTTCAGGTAAAGTTTTCCTAACGAAGATAAAAAGAACAGTTGTGATGAGTCATAAAGCTGTTTGTACGGCAGGGGAGAGAAAGGCAGCACGACAAACTAGAGCAGGTAATGCTTCCTTTATACTCTGCTATTGAAATATAATGCTTCATGAAAATTTCTTGAATTTTGGTCTTTTTCTCCAGATCCTGTTGGGCTATCGGTGGTGGATTACTTAGGGTGAAGCTAGCAGATTTATGATTTATTTTTCACCATGTTACAGCAACTAATTCTTGTCAAGCGGTTTGACCAAATGTTACTGCAACTAATCGACTAGCACCTTTTGTCTTAACCTGTGATTTTTAAATTTTATTTTATTTTTTATTATATTTATTTTACTATTTTGTAAATAATTTATATATATTGTTCATAAATCAATTAGAAGGGTAAAAGTTTACCTTATTTTGTAACTTTTGTTGCTGTATATTTTAATTGTTTGCAAGAGTTTGCAATTTATGAGTGGAATGCTGTTTTCTATTGCTTAGTGCTTAGTATGAGACCATGTCTTAACCTACCCTAGGTGTCATGGGATCCATGGGAAGCACTTTGATTTGTTTCCTTTTTATATTCAGAAAAGTTTAAATGAATCCAAAAGTGAAGGCTTCTATTCACATTTTTTTACCACATTTGGAGGTTTCAAGTCCCAATGTTGAAAACTCTCAGTAGGGGACGCATCCTAAGGTCATATAATATTGTTTGAAATTATATATGAGCACTAGTCGGTCACATAAGAGGCCCATGGTGGCCTTGAATTAATCAAGGGAAGAGTGCACGTATACTCCTAAATTGACTTTTTAAGGGCAAAGTGTATTATTTTAACCATCCAAATAGCCTCCTAAGGTGTCGTAGGGTCTACGGGAAGCACCCCGACTTATTTCCTTTCCGGGTCCAAAAAGGTAAAAAATTGTCCAAAACCTGAAGACTATAATCCACGAAATCGGACCAATTTCGGAGGTTTAGGGACCTAGGGTCGAAAAATCTCAGGATCGGAGAGGATGCATCCCGGGGTCATATAATGTTGTTTGGAACCATATATGACTACTAGCTGGTCATAATAAGTCTCATGGTGGCCTTGAGTTGACTAAGTGAGGTGTAAGTTGTGAACGACTAAACTGCCAACTTAAAGGAAAAGTGGGCATTTTCAACCACCCAAATGGATTCCCGGGGTGTCGTGGGGTCTACGGGAAGCACCTTGACATGTTTCCTTACTGAGTCCAAAACTGAAGTGAACGTGTGAGGTGTTCTCCCGAGTCATACAAGTTGGTTTGGAACCATAAGAGGCTTATCAATAGGTGTATAAGTCTCAACTCTCAAGTATGAATTTGTTTTAGTTATGCGGTTATTTTGGAATTATGTTGCATTGGTAGTGAAAAGCTGCAATGGTTCTAATAATCATTAACTTGACATCCTGGGGCCTACTAAGGTGTCTCGAATCCTTAATCTTCATTGGTGTAGTTGATTATTCCCAAATTAATAACTTCCATAATATTCCATTATAATGTTGATTTTATATTATACCATTATAATATTTTACTGTATTGGCGTTGCGCTTGTTACTCGACAGTCAACACCAATCAATATTAACTTTGGTTTGATTATATACATACAATTGTTCATTTAATATGGAATGGAAGGTTTTTTAAACTTAAGATGGAAAAGTATCCATAGCCTCCATATGGAATGGTTGTTTACAAGAATAGGATATTCATATTATGGATTGATTGACTGATTGATGGCCTTCCAAACTTTGAAGCCCAAAATAAATTAATATGGCCTTGTATATTCTGTGGCCACATATGGATTCAAGAGAATTTAGAATGCTATTGGCAACCAGAAGTCTATAATGTTCCCTAGAACACTATTTTCCTACTTCTATGTGAAAGTAAACATTTAAGAATTTTCACCTGGCAGGTTTTCAAGTTTCAACATATTTTTCCCTAGATTTTCCATCATCCTGGGAAAGGGCTCTAACATAGTTGCTACAACCTTCAAACTATGAGATATAATGCAACTACATCCATTTATTCCCACAAATGGTTAAAGCCTCTACGAAGAGATATAAATCTAAGATTTGTTGTTATCCATAGTCACAGTAGTGAACTAGTGACCATCCATGGAGAATAAAAGACTACTTCCTATTTCTTTCATGTGCGTAGTTATAGAAATAAAAATATGCCAAGAACTTACAAAAATGTCATGGAGGACATGATCAATAAAAATCCCAGGTATCTTCAATGGTTTTGGTTTTCTTGGGGACTTAGCTAAAACTAATAATTCCTCCATTATTTGACAGACAAACATAAAGCACTAGCAAGAATATTAAGACGACCCAAGTGATGAGGAAAAGACATGGAAAGAAATCAAAATAGTGCCCATGTGATGAGGTGAGAGTGAAAAACCACAAGCCACTAAGCCAGATGACGAAATTTACAACTATCTCAAAACAGCAAAAGACGAACAAAAAAAAAGAAAAAAAAAAAAAAAAAAGAAACGAAAGTAAATCAACTATTAAATAACTCCATACCACTTCTTAGTGACTAAGCTTTGCTTGAGCATATCAGAGGTGTCCAGTGTCCGCCACTACTCCTGGAACAAAAATAAAATGAATTCTGTTAAGCACAGAAACACAACCCTGTAAAGACCATATTTCAGAGCACCAGAATCAGGACAACCAAGTTCAAATTTGATTAGTAGAATGCAGTTCAACTATGTCAAATTCTAATTTCTAAGAACTGCAAGGAAAATGAATCAAAATAAATTATCAATGCTAAAATTGACATGTAAATGATCTCAGAATCCATGAATAAATACAAGATTCAAATAACTTACATACCATGGTGCACAATCATTCAAAGACAGGGTCCTGGGTAAGTTGTTCAGCACTCATTTGTCTCAAAGATCTGACCATATGCTGATCGGCAGCACGAATATGAACGATTCTATCTTGCATACTCTGGAATGCAGGCATTGCAAATGCTTGAGACAATCTATCATGATGGCTTGGATCTTCAGAGAAATTAATAAGTGATTCCCCAGCATTATCCCTTAGTTCCTCAGACTCATCTCGCAACATTTCTATCAGACACGGAATGGCTCCAGCATAAGCCAGGGTAGAACGGTCAGCTTCATGATAACTCAATTGTGCAATGGCTCCAGAGACTTTCTCTCTGATATCACTATTTCCCTCCTTTAAAAGACCAACAAGAATGGGAATTGCACCAGAGTTACTAATGACTGAAATAGAGTGTTGATAACCTGACAAATCCCATAGAACATCTGCTGCAGCAGCCTTTGCTTCAGAATTGTCTTCTTGGAGAATTCTTACCAAATGCTCAGTAATCTCAACTGCATTACTTTCAGCAACAGCCAATACACAGAAGACATCCTCTGCAACTTCCCTGCCCAACGGTTCAGGCCCTCGAAGAAGCTCTGCATACATAGGTATAACCCCAGCTTGAGCAACAGGCCTAATGTAATCAACATGAGATGAAATGATACCCAAAGCATTCCCAGCCACAACTTTTGTCGAAGAATCTCCATTCTGCAGTAGATCTACAAGTGTTGGTATTGCACCCAACGCAACTAGTGTACGTCTTGCCCTCTTGACAATTCCAAGCAACCCAAGTGCCTGAGCAGCTCTTTCTCTCGACTCCATGCTACCATACTTAGCAGCTTCGATAAGAAGACTTAACTCTCCAAGACAAACCAACGCTCTCCTGACCTCTCTGACCAATGCCAATGCACTTAGGGTTTCCAAGAGGTATCTTCTCCTACTGTCTGTGTATAATTTGAGCATATTAACAACAACTTCCAACCCACCACTTGAAAATATGTACACTCTGCTGTCTTTTACAAAAGTAACCACACCCCACAAACATTTTATCAAATAAGTCTGACATCTACCACCAGACTGTTCTAAAATCTTCACAAAAGAAGCTAAGGTGCTCGGTACACAGATAAGCGTCAGCAACTCAGGATCATCTTTACAAGTTATGCGCTTCAAGCAATAAGCAGCAGCTTCTTGAAGAGGTCCTGGGTCTCTCGACACCCCTTCAATGAGTCCAACGAGGATTGGCACTGTAAGCAACAATAAGTGGTTGGGAACACTGTCTAACAAACTAGCTAGCTTGATCGTTGCTCGTAACTTTAAAATATCAGTCCCGCTGTTAATTACTTCTTCATAAGAACGGTACAAATCATCCCACTCGGGAGATGTCAAGGGGGAGGTCGACTCTTGTTGAGCCATGAAGTATCAGTCTGAGGATTGGTAGCGCGAAACTCCTTAGAAAAACTCCCCTAAACCCACACACAAGGAACTATCAGAAAATATAAAAAGACAAATAATCATATAAATATATTATCCCCTTATATTCAATACAGAAAAATACAGGAAAAAAACAAATGGCATACATTAGTTCAAGTTCCTATTACAAATTAGGGTATGCCAATATCATTGGCTAGCATGCCAAGCATTAAAACTCATTACCCATATCCAAATTCACGATGTTGTCATACTCCGGGTGTAACACGAGTATACCGACATAAACTACTCTACACCATTCACTCATTCCAAATGGGGGTATCATTGAATATCCCAACAAAGATCTAACACTACACTACATAACAAAATACGTAACAACTTTTTCCGAACATCCCAAAATAATACGTATCACTATTATTTCTTGACAAAGGGGGCAAAATAGTAATACCCAGAACTAACGGAAAAACGCCTGAAGTGACGTATTCATCAACAAATCAATTCATTGAACATTAAAAAATTCTTTCTTTTTAGCACAAACAAATACAATTATTAACAAACAATTTATTAAATAAGCACTAATCAAACACCCAGCTCATAAAATGCGGAAATCATAAAGTTCACAACTTTATAATTTATAAGGAAAATTAAAAAGTACAACAGGGGATTCTAAAATATTTAGCATAAATCATAATTAACTAACTAAGAATAATAATTATCATAATTAGATAAAAGCAGGAGAGAGAAAATTGACCGTTATTTGGAGCAGCTTGATTGGTTGAAGGCGGTTGAGAATGGAGGAGAGAGATTTGGAAGTGTTTCTGGAAAACAGAAAGTGTCGAAATATTTGTTGAAGACTCGAAGACAATAAAAATAATAAGTAAAAAAATTTAATTTAAATAAAAAAAAAAAAGGAAAAAATGGTTTATGAAAACGCAGGTTATTGGGCCTTTTTGTATAATGGACCTTGGACTTGGGCCTGCATTTGGGTGCAATTGGACTATGTATGCATTGCAAAAGCAATACAGTACTTTTTTTTTTTAAATGCAAAATAAAGGAGGAATCCGAACAAACAAACAAAATCAAAATGTGCATAAACCAAAAACAGGAAATACGAAAAAGTTGTTTCTACTTTTCTATTGTCAGTTTTCAAAATTATTATGATTTTAATAAATTTGAATAATTTTTTATTCATTATATGACATATACCATACTTCCTCCGCTCTATTATTGTAACAATGAACTTTTTGCACTATTCATCACTCTTGGTTGATCATATAATATGATTTATACGTTAAGCAAAACATAGTCATGTGAGATCTTATTGGATTCGTCTCATAAAATACTTTCACAATATCAACTTTTTATAATTTTTACTCTTACACAATTATACATATTTAGCATAGCATATAAAATGTGCTTTGAGATGCGTAATTTCATCCTTGTTGCAATATTAATAGAACGGACTAACGGAGGAAGTATGATTTTGAAAAGAAAAAAAAAACAGAAAACCACTGCGATGCCAAACGAACCAGGCTTGGTTGACATCATTTTTTGTTTTCAGTTTTCTTTTAAAAAAAAAAAAACAAGAAAAGGTATTTCTACTTTTCTTTTATCAGTTTTCAAAATTATCATGATTTTAATAAGCTTGACTAATTTTTGAATCATTATATGACTTATATGATATGATTTTGAAAAACAAAAAACCAAAAAAAGAAAACCACAACGATACAGAACGAATCCTAAGGGCTTTTTCGTTATCATTTTTTGTTCAAGATTTCAGCTTTTATGAAAATTAAAAAATCAAAAAAAAATCAAAAACAAGAAACAAGAAAGAGTAGATTTCACTTTTCTGTTGTTAGTATTTTTAATAATCATTATTTTAACAAGTCAGATAAAATTTTTGGCTCTTAATAATACTCCCTCCACTTCGTAATAATCGCAATAGTAGGGTGGGCATAAATTTTTATGAAAATCATAGGCTAGGGTCCAAAAAGGATATTTTATTGTCAGTGGGAATATATTTAATTGTAAATAGGAGAGAAAAATATTTTTTAAAAAAAAAAAGTGTATGGGTGTATTCTCTTCATCTTATTGAACCTGAACTTATCTGAACTTGTCTGAACTTATTAGATCTTTTTGAACTTATTAGAACTTTTTAGACCTGATTGAACTTATTAGAATTTATAGACCTTATTGAAACTTATTGGACTTTATTACACCTTATTATTAGACTTGAATAGAACTTATTGAACTTATTAGACCTTATTGAACTTATAAAACTTATTAAATTTATTAGACCTATAGTAACTTATCTGAAGTGATCTGGACTTATTAAGCCTGGAACTTATTTTTATAAGGTGAAGAGAATAAGCTCTAAGTGGGGTTGGTAAGATAGAGAAATAATAAAATTTTAGTGAGTCCTTACCAAATAAGGAAGTGTTGCAATTATTATGAAACGGATGAAAAAGAAAATGTTGCGATTATTACGAAACAGAGAGAGTATGACATACCATATGACTTTAAGAAATAAATAACCAAAAAACTGGAAAACTACAAGGAAACCAAATGATCCCTAAACGTGGCAAGGCCACGCCCATAAAAGAGATTAGTGATTTCAGATGGTGCAACATCGAAATAACTACCCTTTCCGTTTGGATGACACCTAAGTTAGGTAATCTATCGGTGGGGGGGGGGGACTATATTTTAGGCCCTATGCTCATAATATCAAAGAAAAAATTTGGTTATACTTGTACCATTGAAAATTGCCTAAGAAGCAACTATATTTATACTCCGTAATAGATAATTTATGCTCTGTTTGATTCATCTTATTGTATTTTGTTTAAAATTATTTTATTAGAAGTATTAGTATATTATCCATACTTATTTTGTTTTATCTGAACTTAAATAAAAAAAAATAAAAAAAATAAAAAATAAAAAATTGCTCCATATATAATATGATGAGATTAGTTGTCCCATTTTACATGTCAAAATTTTTAGTTTGGGATGTCACACAATAATTGTCAAGTTTTCAATTAATATTAACAACAAAAGCATTATTGTGCCACTAAATTTATTTTTTGTTGGTGAATAGTAATCTAAAAGGCGAAAAGTATCACAATAAATAATTCTCCCCTACGTATAATTTTTTCATTTCCTAAACATGTAAATTAAAATGGGACTGAAGAAGTATATAATCGTTCTCTCTCATTCTCTCTCCTTAATCATTCTCTCTCATCTCCTTAATATGTGTGCCTAATTAAATTAAACGCGCGTCAACTAAATAGAAATTAATGAAGTAATTGTTTTAACTTTTAGAATTTGATTGTTTTCTTGCTTTTCTATAATATGTTGTCCATTAAATAATCGTTGTTTTTAAGTATCACAAGCTCGCTTTTAGAATTTGATATTTATTGCACTGTTTAACAAACAACATTGTGTTTGTACTTTTTTTTTGACAACAATTTGTACATATTTTAGAGAACAAAGAAAATGATCGAGTTGAAATCTTAATTGACACTATTCAAGTGGTCAATCAAATATTATAGAATGAAGAAAGACACATGCCACTAAATTAAACTAGACGTGATAATAATCACCATTATAACCATCATTAAGTACAATAGTACTTGGTATGGGTCAAGAGGAGACATTGATTTTGCACCATCCACTCTATAACTCTAGGATTATAACATGGGAATTGAAATTGATTTTGTTACATAAATTTGATGCATGCAAGTTATTTTCATTGCATATCCATTATAATGATGTAGCACATGTTAATTGGACCTACATACATAAAACTTTATTTTGTCACCAATAGAAAAATGACAATTTGTTTTGAAAATAATGCACAAAAGAAATATTGTATGCAAAAGAACTTTCGTTTTCTTTGTGGATAATGTTGTTAGAGTACTAACATTTGTGGGAGTGACTTCTTGTGGATAAGGCTTTCATATTTTCCACTTGCTCGGTCCACATGTTTTTTTTAAACTATAATCTATAACTATACTAATCTATCTATTTATAACTAACTATACTAAAATAGAGGGCATTCAAGCTATACTTTGACATGTATCATTCTACGCTTTAAATTTTTCTTGCTCATTTTTTCCAACCCCTAAATATTCGATTAAATCTTATTGTGATATTGCAATATACTATAAATATGTATATTCATATAAAAAAAATATATTCCTATAAGGAATAATATAGTATAATGCTTCATATATTCATATAACTTATTTTGTAAAATATTAACTTATTAAACATTATAAGATTATTTTGTAAATTATATACTTACAAAATCAATTCCTCCATATATATAACTAATAAGATCAATTATTAAAAGATTTTAAAAGTTAACTTACTTTTTATTAAAAGATTAACTCACTTTTTAAAAGATCAATTAGCCTATACTAATAAAGTAATAAGATTAATTGTTAAAATATTTTAAGAATATTTTAGATCTTATGTGACAAAATTGCATAATATATTTTGATCTTAAATTATATACATAACATGTGACAAAAATCATCCGAAATATCTCTAACGTTATTAAAAAATTACTCCATATTATATCACGATATTTTAATATAACCACAGGTTTTTTTTTGGTATTTAGAGAGCCACAAAGGTGGATGATGATAATCGATCACAGGATCACCTAGAATCGGGAGGGAAACTCTAACCACTTGAGCTATCCCTCATTCTCTTAATATAATCACTTGTAATATCGATCAATAAACATATATGTAAGAAATCAACTCTTTATGACTTTGTTCAAATTACGACTACAGGTAGAAGTGTATACTAAAATACATTGCGACAATATATAATAAAAAAAATACTACAAGCATAAAACAGAGGGCACTCAAGCTATACTTTGACATGTGTCACTCTATGCTTGGTCAAGGATTATTTGGCCGGTCATGGGTTACTTTTTTAAGGGCTATTTATTTAGTCAGGGTTTACTCGATCGATTAGAGGTTACCCATAAATAAGTAACCTCGACCACAGGATGTGGCTAGCCACATATGAAAATTTGTACAAGGTAATACATCAGACATGTAAATATGCATATATAAATCATTCTAATTAAAGGTATAATATAATAAAAAAATATAAAGGCCATAAACCTTATTATTCATATCTTTATTTTTTTTAAACATTAAATTGAAAATATGATAATGAGTATTGAGTAATTAGTGTGATAAATGGTTGCGTATTATTGTGATTAATATTGCTGTATTTTCAATATTGTGCATTATTAAATTAACTATTGTTTAAATTTAGTAAAATTTTAATATTTGAACTTTTAAACCCATTGCACGGGTTCTATACTAGTATATGACTACTTTGTAATAATTTAATACAGTGTTTTTAAATTAAGGATAATAATTCAAATGATTAGGGATTATTTGTTTAATTATTAATTTATTTTGTTTTATTTCAGACAATTTAAGTTTTAATTAGTTAAATAAGTTCAAATATGTTCAAGATAGTTTTAGACAATATCAGGTTTTTTTCCCCAAGCAATTTTACATCCAAAGTAAGTAATTTGAGACAAATTAAGTTCATGCATAATAATATTTTTTAGATAAAATAAAAGTTTCATATGTAATTAAATATAAGCTCAAATATTTTTGTGTTTAATTACCTAGTTTGATCTTAATATCATATTTAATCCAATTTGACTAAATTTGGACCTTATTTGATCATTATTAAAAAATACCATTTAGTTCTACTAGTTCATCTAATCATCTACACACTACTCCATTGTAGTATTGTACACTTCACTTGAAATCACAGTAGACATTAAAATAATGAAATTGCATAATTAGGGTACGGTGCAATTGTTAGTCAATAAATTCTAAATGATTTTTCTATTTATTTTTTTTCTCTAATTTGGTGATCTACTAATCCAAAGGGCACGTTTATATGTTACATTTGAGGCCATCTAAATTAAAATTTCAAACATACAACATAATTTCAACA